CAAAGAATCATTATATAGGTCATATATTACCTATTTACTTTTAATTTGATGGTGGGATCTTTTGATCAACGGAATATGACGCTAAATTGTTTCGTGATTAAGTCTAGTTTTATTAAGTTCATAATTAAGTTTATCCCTAAAAAAACAAAAGGTTATTTATCTTCTGATGCAGAAAAAAAAGATTTGTATAATTATACGTACACGTTTTGATGATATTTTAAATAAATAGGATTACAAATGCCTGGATACAGTTCAATTTTGAAGAAAACAAATATGCATTCCTTGGAAAAGTAATATAATTGCAATTGATGGTAGAAAAAAAATAATCTATGAGCTTAATATATTCAATACTTAGTAACCTAGTGTAATTATTTAATTTCAATGTTAGTACAATTTTCTAATAATATTTCCTCTGTAAACGAAAAAATTACAAGTTTCTAGCTCAAAAACACCTGTCTTAACTTATTCACAATGCTTAGTTCTTTTGCCATTAATATCTGATAGCAAAAGAGATTTTTTTAATTATCATATGTTATGTTAGATTCTAAGCTACCTTTTTCACTCTACTCCAGCGGATATGTGGTACTTTATACCTAACGTTAGAAAAATTGTAGAAAATAAAATAATTGTGTGGTAATTCACCGTATGTCCTAGGTCATAGATTTTACTTGGTTACATTTCGAAAATAATAAATAATATATCCGAAATTATTAATTGTTATTTGTGTTGTATTTTAACTATAGTTATCGTAACCAACATTTTCAAAGTAATAGTATTTAGTTAATTTATTTTTCTATATTTTAAATAGCATTGTAGACACACTGAATATTGTTTGCCCAACCAAAACAACCTACAGTGATATTGTAAAATACTATTCCTACATGGAATTACATTGTTTTAAATTCAATACTTCTTGTAGGACCTGTCATAGTCCTTATTATACTAAGACTCAGTTCTACACTTTTCTTACCTAGAAAGGTGCCAATGAAAGCAACAAGAAGGCTTATACCATTCAACCTGTTGTGCCTCCTAGGTAGTGCAGGTCTGACGTTCCACCCACGGCCTTCGTAAACGTTTCCGTCCCCACCAATCATGAAACTTAAACATGGTACAAAGTTTATGTCATGCATCATCCATCATACAAATTTTATGTCATCTATCACCCATCATACAAAGTTTATGTCATCCATCATCCACCATACAAAGTTTATGTCATTCATCATCCATCATTAATCATACGAAGTCCATGTCATCCATCATCCATCATACAAAGTTTATGTCATCTATCATCCATCATCAATCATACCAAGTTTATGTCATCCATCATACAAAGGTTATGTCATCTATCATCCATCATACAAAGTTTATGTCATCTATCATCCATCATACAAAGTTAATGTCATCTATCATCCATCATCAATCATAACAAGTTTATGTCATCTGTCATCCATCATACAAAGGTTATGTCATCTATCATCCATCATACAAAGTTTATGTCATCCATCATCCATCATACAAAGTGTATGTCATCTATCATCCATCATACAAACTTAATGTCATCTATCACCCATCATACAACATTTATGTCAATTATCATCCATCATACACCGTTTATGCCATCTATCATCCATCATCCATCATACAAAGTTTATGTCATCCATCATCCATCATACAAAGTTTATGTCATCTATAATCCATCATACAAAGTTTATGTCATACGTCATCCATAATACAAAGTGTATGTCATCCATCATCCATCATACAAAGTATATGTCATCCATCATCCATCATAACAAGTTTATGTCATGTATCATCCATCATGCAAAGTTTGTCCTTTTTCAGTTTTGGCCATTAAGCGTAATCAAAATGTTTTGCTCCTTCAGACCTAGGCTGATAGGCTAATACTTTAATTATAATATTAAAAGCTATCATATTTTTTTGACTACAGTAGTGTGATTTAAATTTTCCAGAAGGTGAAACTGACTACTTTTAAACAATGTTTTAAGAGGTAAAAAGTTCGATGTATATTTGAATCAAAACATGCAAATTACTTGCTTCCGAGAACAAATTATGTATACATCATTATTTAAGTTACCAAACTACGTTATAAGTTATAACGAGAGAACACTTTTCACTATACAAAAAAGTTAAGTAAAATATTTCATTACTAAAGGCCGTACTTATAGTTTGAGGTACGGTTGCGTGAGAACAAAAACAAAAACAGTCCCTTACTTTAGTTGGAACTAACTTTTGGTTCATATAACATTTACCTATTTAAATATTGCTGTGTGGTTAGCTACAGTAATATAACTGTTTTATGTAACAACAAACACAGATTTTTAGTTATTTGTCCGACTGGAGTAATGGACCCCACGTTTACTGGGGCTTTTGTGTTTTAATAGCCTTATATTCCAAATTATTTATTTTTTATTTATCTTAGAAATAAATTTGACCATATCAATAAAAGTTGTATTATTTTTGTACAGCTAAATCAGTACTTTGTTGATCAAGTATCTTTTTTCGAAGAGGTTTGTAAATAATTATATTAATATCAGTATCAATAGAGGAAATTATTGATCCTTTTCCTTAAAGCTCAGTGTCACGTAAAATACATTACGCTCACTACCAAGACAACATATGTATAATCTCACTTACGAGTTTCATTATATTTATCTTCAAACAAAACTCATGCTTAGCTACTTCAAACTATTACCATTTAAAATGTAAATAATACATCACTAAAACAAAACAAAGCTCTTTAGATGTACATTACTTAAAGCGAACATCCGGAGACCCCGATGAGCTGCGTTTGGTGTGAAGATTGTGGATGTACTTTGCTTGTCCGATACACAGAAAGCCATCAAAACATGGCCTGGTGTTGGAGTTGACGAAGAACACGTATTCACTTGGACCAACACAAGGAACTTTCCATTTGGCCTGAACTTTACCCCAAGTTTGCCCCGGAACTATCTTGAGAGGCATGGCTTTCACCCACATAAATCTCATATTAGTTATACATATTACATTCATATTTATTTGGCTAAACAATTGAATGTACCTACAACGAGAAGACTTCCCATCCAATGTAAAAAGTTGAAGCCAAAAAACGAATCGATGTTTGTTGCGACGGTCAATCAAATAATGACAATATTTTGTGTCCAAGTGAAAAATAATCAGCTGTTAGGATAGTTTTTTATTAATATTTTTTTACTTGGTACCATATTTTTTTATTTTGTATCATATTGACCAAACCTAAATTGGTTACCCGTAGGTTAGGTTCTATATTATCCTAACCTTACCTAACCTAGGTGTTGTAACCAAACCAAACTTAGGTGTGGTCGGTATAATACCAAAGTAACCCAATAAACTAGTACCCTCTGGTGAGATGGTCTTGAACTTCATCTATTTTCATGGCTTATAATCTTAATATTGGATGGGAAGTCTCATATTTTCAGGCCTAAGTACGTTTTATCTAAATTAACTTTTAGTTCTTTTTATTATCATTATTATTATTTTGTGAAGTGGGAACACCGTCTAAGTGCATATTTTTACCCGAATATGAGTGAAGGGTCTGAGATGGTCTGTTTAGCTTTGTTACTTAATGAATCAGCTGTTTCGTCAGTCAGGATCATATTTAAAGCCACAATGATCAGAAATAGCTGAGTCCAGATTGGAACTAACAAAAAGCTACTGAATTTTCTCAGGATCAAAAAAGCAAACTTTAGATAACAGTCTCAGATAGTCTTTGAGGGTTAACATTTACGCTGTTTTATGTTCTGAAACTAAATGTATAGCTCAATAAACAGATTTAATCAACATTTTAATACACATTTGGATTTGGATTTTATTACACATTTAGTTAATAAAGGATACCACATGGGTTAACATCATTCAATATTTCTTCTTACAACTCCCTTACAGATTTGACGTTTTACTTGTTATTAGTTCGTCAAAAGAATTTATAAACCGTTATAAAATATAAAATAACAACACAAAACAATTAGCGTAATAATGTACGTTGGGTGTGTTTTGGAAATATATTTATGATTTGGCTATTTACATTAAATTACCTTAAAACGTTTATCTACAGTTGAATATGTACATAAATGTACTTACCTAGCTGTAAAAGTTCATCAAAATATTAAATTCATGTCATAAAACAAGTTAAACAGTTCATAATCCATTATTGCATTCTAGCTCTCTAAATAATTAGTAGTAACTTATAGTTTACACTCTTCTGTAAAAGGTTCAAAGTGAAATGAATATCAAAAGTTTGTAGGTGCTAATTAAGATAACACATGTTTTGTCTTTATTTGAGAAGTGTTCTATTTCTTTTTAAGTCTTATAGGCCTACTTCATAATTTCTCTCTCAATAGAGATACAGTCGTATATTTATACAAATTTAAATTTATTTATACTCTTTTGTATTTAGGGATTTTACAATTAACCATATTTAATAAAAGTAATATCAAAGTATGTATGTACTTTCCTACATGATGTAAGTGAAATTATTTTATTGTTATAGGAGAAAAATAACAATATGCTTTGGATTTTGTCGTATAGAATTGTTAGTAAAATATTTAAATTAAAATATCCTTTAAAACAATTTAGTTACAATAAGCATTTGCATTTGATGACATAATTTAAACCACCTCATATTATGTTTGGTTGCAACGAGATCTACTAAACTCTTAAAACTAAACAACTAACTGTACAGTAACAATTGTTACAAATTAATACATATTTTGTTTATTAAATCACAAAATACAAATTTTAATATTTACACTAAATTACATTGTACTTAACTGTTTTAGATAAAATCTGTTGAGTTACATTATGATAAAACATACTAGTTATTTTCGCGTACCACGAATTTCCAAAACTTTAGGTGCCACAAACTCGTTTCTGACTCCATATTCTATTAGCTTTCTTCGTGTGATAAACATTTTTTCCGTCGGGACCCGATCTAAAAAAAAAATTCGAATGATGTCGGTGTAATATTTAATTTTTGTGAGTTCAAATAGTTGTTTAGTGGGATATTTCACTTCAAAATATCGAATTAAGATACATATTTTAACCTAATTAGGGACAAGATCAGGAGGAACGTGAACTTCCAATACTTTAGATGAAATGTACTTCCTCGCTACTCCGTATTCCAGCAGTTTTCTTCTTGCAAAAAACATCTTTTCTGTAGGATTACAATCTGCAAAAATATATAAACCTAAATTAATCTGCGTATTTATGTATAAGTAAGCATATCTAACAACAACAAAAATCACAAAAAAACTGTAATTTGAAGAATTAAGGTGGGCTAAATCCTTTTAAAGTTCATAATATAGTAACTACCAATTTATGTAATCACGGATTAGAGGGACTTTACAACAGTATTCTACGGATAATTGTTCCTTATCAATAAAATTTCAGGAGTAAAATAATTATTGAAGTAAGTCCATTTATCATCAAGTAAGTTCAACTCTTACAATGATTATATAGAAACATTGGGATCAAACGACAGCTAATATTTGTAAAAAGATTAACTAAAAAAAACTGTTTTATTATATAACTGTAAACGTTTTAATTATTGTAAATAGCTACTTTGAATTATATAGTCTCTTACACATGTGCTTAATTTTGCGACATCAATAAGTGTCGTTTTAAACTCGGTAACACAGCTTAAAGTTTTAAAAACCTAAATTTAATTGGAGCTAACTATTAGAACTTGAAAGATAGATAGGTATGTTGACTTTTAATGCGAGCATTACCATAGAAATGGCCGATTAGGGCTACAAACAAACTTCTCGGTTGAAACTCAACCCATTTGCTTGGAAGGGATGGGCGAATCTTCCACCCTCGACCTTCATAAACGTGGCCGTTTCCTCCAATGCAGAAGCTGTCAAACAGTTTGGTAATTCAATTATTATTAGACATTTTGAAAAAAAAAAAACATTATCCGGTGTTTCATGAATATTTATGTCAAGACACTTTCATGATGCTGTACAGTAGTTTAAATTACCTTGTTACTGTTAAAAACGATCCTACGTAGTATGTGAGACTACAGCTGATTCATGCTTCAAAGGAGCACATCTTCAGGTCGGAAGAACGTCAAGTAGTCTTCATTGGAATTAGATATTCCTCGTAGTGGAGTTTGTCAAAAGTTTAAAAACACGAAACACGAAACATTTAGAATTTGTCGACCAGATGACGGTAACAATAATAACAATAATAACAACAATTGTTACCGTCGTCTGGTCGACCAATTCTAAATGTTTCGTGTTTCCGTGTGTTATGTGATTTGTCTATTTATTAAACTTTTGACGAACTCCACAACGAGGAATATCTAATCCCAATGAAGACTACTTGACGTTCTTCCGACCTGAAGATGTGCTCCTTTGAAGCATGAAACAGCTGTAGTCTCACATACTACGAAGGATCGTTTATGACAGTAACAAGGTAATTTAAACGACTATATAGTCAAGGCACTTTGTTTTAAGTTTGAGGTATTATTTTATAGGTTGTATCATGGAATAGTTTTGAAACTAATATTAATTTTTAAGGGTCAATGTTATATGTTGTAAAGTATGTGCTGCTAAGTTATTATTTGTGATGCAAACCGATCAAATTTAAAAGAAACCATAACCTTTAGAGCTTGACGTATTTTACATGTTTGTAAAAATAGAATCAGTAGCATTTTAAAAACGTAGTCGCTTTTTTCCGATTCGTAGGTAAAATTTTAAACCTCTTAAGAAACCCTTTGTATTACAATAAAAAAATTAAAAGTGAAATTGTTAGACCTATTGTTGAAGACAAACAAGAACAAAAGATTTTATAAATACGTAATTATATAACACTGCTTTTACGAGTAGTTTTATAAGATTATAACATGTCAAAGTATAAAGTTTTAAAAGTAGTAAAATTCTAACAAAAATACTTGTTATACTTTTATTTTGTTTTACGACGTAATTTTTAATTGCCTTGTATTTTTAGAAAGGAAATGCGACTTAGAAAGATATTGTAAATTACTAATGAGTGATCAAGTAGTGACATTTAAAATAAAAACAACATCTTTGAACAATTTTAAATTTCTAAAATGTATGGTATCGTTTAGACCGATATAAATCTATCTATATATTTTACGTTAATTACTTAATTTTAAGTTTGATTTAAATATAAATTTTAAGGTCGAATGTATCATATATAATCTATTGTTTTAGTAATACTGTATAATGTAACTTCACCAATATCTTGCCTTAATAAAACAATTAAATAAAAAATTCACATTAAATGGTATTACACTTAAAATGCAATTATTCATTCCAAAAATAAACCAACGTACTGTATTACTTGTATCTGATGTCCGGAAAATGTTTCTTTTCCCTATGAATAGCTTGAAGTTTTCTCATCATTTTACAGCAAGAGTTGTTGGTTTTGCAATAGTGATCTTCTGTCACTGAGTAGAATATGTAGATAATCGGTCCTGTAGTGAAAATTATAGGCATTACTAAACATTTTTGTTAGTACTTTTGAATGTGAATATTAATATCCATAAAAATGCAATTTAAAGATTGTAGCTATATTAGGAATGGGCGAAATAATTCTCTGACAGAATGTGCATCTGTAAATTTTGGAATTTTCTTGTTCATGTCAACATTTTAATCAATTATAAGTTGTATAACAAATTATTTTCAGCTCTATTATGTTTAATAATATTAAATATATTAATATCGCTAACTTAGAATTACAAAAATATAATATTTATAGAGTCATTTTCTGTAAATGGTTTATTTAACTTTAATCAGTTTCGATAAAAATGTTATAGCAGGCTTCGTAGGATCAGTTAGTTATACAATTTAATTAAATGCAGGGTAAATATAAATATTTATGCTATACGATTTGGAAGTAACCATTTTTATAAACACACTAGCTGACCCGGCGAACTTCGTATCGCCTAAGTTATAGGTTTCCCCTAAGACAGACCGATGAAAAGAAAGTACCGTTACGTTTAATATTGTAGATGATCTCGTTCGCATCGCTCAATCACGTCCTGGTTGAAGTTCGTTCGCTATGCTCACTCACCTTTGGGTTGGAGCTCGTTCGCTGCGCTCACTTGCCTTTAGGTTGGAGCTCGTTCGCTACGCTAACTCGCCTCCAGGTTAGCTCGTTCGCTACGCTCACTCGCCTCCAGGTTGAAGTTCGTTCGCTACGCTCACTCACCTTTTGGTTGCAAATTAGCTGTTGTCATAAATGTAAAAGAAATAATAGTGCTGCACCCTGTTGGTAATCCTTGTAACTTTAATGCTATTGAACATCATAGAACAGAACCAACTTGTTTAATTGAAACAGCTGTTAAGATTCATTAATTCCATTTCTCATAAGGTTAACATGGGAAACTCCAGAGCCACTGGGGCGGAGCCCTTTTAAGAATTTCGAAACGGGAAATAGTTTACGTCCGATTCGCATACCTACAGAATTTACACACCAAATTTCATAACGATCGGTGAAGTCGTTCCGGAGGAGTTTGCAGACAAACACTGTGACACGAGAATTTTATATATTAGATTACTTTACATAAAATCCTATTCAAAAGTCTTTAATATTTGTCTATAACCCTGGAATGGTTTAAACATTACTTCACGCTAGTACTAGTGATAATAGATAAAATTAATTGGTGTTTGGTGGGATTTGAAACCAGGATTCGGTCACCAAAGCCCCCGCGCTCTACTACCTGACCAGCTCACTCTCCAAAGATTTCAATAGTGAAAACAGATGGTTTTACTCAGCTTAGGAGGGGTAAGGTTAGGGTACGCTGGATCCTCGCCTTTTTTTATTTATAAACCTTTATTTGTCTGAATAAACGAAGAAAATTAATACAAAAATGCTTACTTGTCGACTTTTTAAATTATGTTACCTTTTTGCACGTTTAGTTCACGCGTTATGTAATATATATTTTTTACTGTGTGGTTTTAAATATACTTAAAATGAATCTACGAAGGATGGACGGTTAATATTTTTTTTTATTAAATCGATTGAAATGTCACAACATGTAAAGTTTTTTTAAACTACACTTACCTTTCATTGTACCTTCCCACTCCGCTGCTCTTCTCCGCCATTCGTCTTGGCAGTGCATTTTGAAAGGCATTCTCGTTAAAGTCAATTGTCTACCAATTTCACCTGTTTATATTGTTTTCATTTTTCATAATAACGAATTCTCTGAAAATGGCAACAATGCAATGTTACAACTTTAAATTTATAACGTTAAGTTCAATGTAGAATAAGAGAGTTCACAAGCTGCTTGCGTTTTGGATGCATTTACGATAAAGTATTGTTTATTGAAAAACATTTTTAAAGTATTATTATTAAAGTAGTAAAGCCTTTGACCTTAGTAAAATAATGTTTGTATTTTTTTTAGCTTAGCAAACAATATAAAGTAAAGACTACTTTAGCTAAGTACGAAAAGACGAACGATTTAAATAATTCAAATACAATAAGTAACACAATGAAATCCAATGCCATTAAAAACACTAGTCATAAAACGTACCTATATCAGTTCTACTACAAATAAAACATGTTATTTGTCTCAACAAAAAAAGTATGAATATAACAGACTTTTACTAAGTAGATAATGCTATGAAGATTAGTCAACGTCATATTGGTTCTGATAACATATCTAAAATCAAGTATCGATAATTATGAGTTCAGACAGTAACTGAGTACAAATTATATATGAGATTTTTTCCTACACTCTTGTTAGTGTTAAAATAAACTATTTATCGTATAGCAAGTAGGTATGATACAAATCCCTCAACTACAGGGTTGGTTATAAATAGAAGTAAAAGTATAACACCAGCTTAAAGTACGTCCAATTTTATTTTGTTTACTTTTATGTGAAGCTTCCAATAACTTCAGCTCCCTATGGATATACTATTATGACAAAATACAATGTCATACATGGTTATTTATATTGTTTTCTAAATCTTCGTATGTTTATTTGATTTCGGTTTGAAATAGTTTCAAGTTTAAATCAAATGTCTAATAGAGTCCCACAGAGTGAAGACAAATTTATGGGACCCCATCAAACTCACGGTGTAGGGTGGTGATGTTGTTATGTCTAGAGATACTTTTTTCTGATCACTGGTTAATTAAGGCTACTTAAATTAGACTACCGAAAATCACCAATGGTCTCTGGAGTATCCCATCGACCAAACTTAGCACTTCCTTAGGCTCTGTTGATTTTTTAAGTGGCGAAACTTCCTGTGCTACTTTAAATTTATTTTTCTTTGGCAGTAAATTTGCGTCACAAGGTGCCATTCAAAGTAAAAATGTATTTGTTTACATCACTCTAAGTAAGATTTGAATTCGATTCACTTATTGTCTTTGTTTTTTTTTTTTATTAGTGAAGCAACACAAAATAATGTGATTACTCTACCTGAATATAAGGTTGCAGCTTTAATTCAATGACATTAGGCATAAAACTAATAAGAAACTTGTAATAATTAAACAATGTTTTATATGGACTTTCCATATAGCTTTACAATATAAAGCATATACACCCAAAGTCAGTGTGGATTATAGAAATCCTAATAAATATTGCCAGGATAACAAATAAATTTAAGTATATGGTGATAAGAAGAACACAGTTACTATAGAAAACCACGTAAAGTATAATTTAAACGTACTCAACCTTAATATACACATCTACTTTGTTCTAAACAACCTTTTAATTATGAAAAGATATTTAAATATAGCACTATTCAACAATGTTATAATTGCACTTTAAGTAAATATTAAAATAAAATAAATTACCAACTGTAATATAATTTTTTCTTACAACTTTATCAATTTATTTTTACAAGCTCATCAAACAAAAGAGGTATAAGTGTGTGTCTCAAGTTGATTTCGATGAATCTTTCAGATATATATTTGTTTTCTATACCGAATTGGACTATGTTTCTTCGAAGGTACAAGTGATCTATAGCAGGCATGTCATCTGTAACGAAAAGTTTAAATAAATATGATTTTATTTTAGTACTGAAATGACTTATTCTAACACGTGAAAAACGTAGGTAATACACGATTATTACAATCAATGTTTATCAATCTTTATAATAAACTGAAACAGTATTTACATTTTTAAGAAACGTATTTCTTATATTGACTGACAACAATTGTATTAGGTTTTAAATAAGCCAGTAGTCAACTATTTAAAAATATATGTTTAAAACTATAAACTTCGTTCTTGTTTGAATTAACCTAAATATCATTTAGCAGGACTTTCTTTTATCCATTCCTCGCCTCAATGGTACGAGGAAAATAAACTGTATTAGTGACCATCTCGTAGTGTATACGTCAGGTACATATAATACAAAATATTATTTTTCAAGTAGATTTATCCAAGCCCTGCAAACGTTTTCAGGGTAGATCAGGAATCTGACTTAACACTCTGACACAATAATTTTAGACGCTAGTCACCAGGCTAGTACTAAATATTTTATCATAATAAACACATAAATAGTATCTAAAAACTACTATACTTACATCTAAAGTCCCCTAAATATCCGATGTAGAAGGACGTGTAGTTGAATTCCTTATGCTTGTGTGGGAGAAAAGGGGCGTTATTCCATCCACGACCTCTGTAAATGTTTCCGTCCGGGGCAATAACAAAACTAAACAATTACAACATTAAATATACATTTACCTTATATGTTTTGGTTGTATCTTAATAAATATCGCTAGTAAATATTGAGTTTTGTTTCCAAGGTGGAAGAAATTAATATCTTCTAACGTTTTGAAAATGAAATGATTTCATATGTACTGTCTTCATTAAATATCATAACTCGATAAAATGTAATGTTAATTAAATATAATTTTCATCAAATCAAGAACTCCTTTTTCGTAAATGTATTTAATAATAGGCAATAAAGATTACTGAGTTGTAATATAATTGAGGATTTTAAAATTATAAACATTTTTGTTGAAAGGTATTTTATAAATATTGTATTGTATTGTACTGTATTGTTTTGTATTGTATTGTGTATTATTGTATTGTATTGTACTGTATTGTTTCGTATTGTACGGGAGGACTCAGGGCTCCCGTACGTCAACCGAAGCTTGGAGAGTAACTGATACAGGTGATCAATAGTGAATATTTTTAAATGGCCAAACAATTCGCCTAAAAGTACTAATTTCAAAGAAGAACTCATTGGCAAACGATTTTGTCCATCACTGTCCAAGTCGTTGGCAATTTTAGGAGGAACTCTTTTAGGAAAAGAAGACCAAACCCCATGTGATGAGGATGTTCTGGACACTCGGCCAGTTTTCCCAAACTGCTAACCAACACTGTGTGTCTAAGTCTATTGTGTTATTAGCGTAATTAATTAATTCCATCAACATAAGCCACATGTAAGGATTAAGTTAACATATTATCCTTAACCTTAAAATATGTATAGACAAGATAGCATATGCTTAACGCCCAATGATTAACCAATGATTGTCCAGCTACAAACTAGCAACAACCTTTTAAAATAGATTAAAAATAATAAGACACTAACGTATACATATTGCAATACATACTTGAATCTGATGTCCTTTTTCCTCCTCATGTCCCAGTTTTGTAACCTTTGTAGATATTCGACGCATTCTATCTCCAAGGCCCCGGGCCTAGGTCCGTGCTTTCGTTCCGCAAATACAAAGGCGTAGAATATTTTGTCAGCTGGATATTTGACACGTGGTAGGTTACCCTGGATGTCTTTACCTCCCCAAGTCCTCCTTGGTACAACCCTCAATGAACTCATTGTTTAGCCTATCATTGTTATAGCCTACAAGAGAAAAATGAATTGTGAACACATTTTAATTTGAATAACTAACTGAGAGGCCTACAAAAGGAAAACGACATAAATAATTAAAAAAATACAACAAGTTATATAAGTAATTATAATATAAATTGCATATTAAAAGAATGTTTTCCGTAGGAAAATAGTATCACTAAAAATGAGGACGTTATATAATCATTACTTAACAAGGGTTTTATTATGGAATAACTAGTAAAAAGTAAGGCAATTCTATAGGATTGTTTTGTAATAAAGCAAAGCAAGGAGCAACAACGTGAATTACGAGTTAAAAATCCTCAACCACGAATAAAGTGAACTAAGATATATTTAATTGATTAAAGAGTAATTTTTATGGACAGTGAGTGCATACAATATTCCATAAAAGTTCACACAGTCAAAAACTGTATTTTAATGACACCTATAACGTGCGCTAGAGAAAGACTTACACATAGACTAAGGTTTACCTAAAACTGCATATGTGTTCTCCCTTAGTACGTTGATAGTAATAGTAAGTTTACGAAGTATACTTACTTATAGAAGGGGTTTGGAAATTTAGAATATAAAAGATAAACTCATAACATTTTCCTCGCTTCTAGTATTAACACACAACAAATCCTATGTTTTTTGTATTTATTTTTGTATAATTGTTTTTTTTTCCTTTCAAATCTTTAATTTTACGTATACATGCAAAATATAATATTTAGTTCATGAAAAAATTCATTTATAGATCTGGAAAAGCCAATAATTAGAAATAAACAATCCTAACACGAATAGGCTTGGATCCTTCTAAATGGATTTTATGATAAATATTATAAAAACCACAACTGTATTATAAACCATTTTAAATACTTTCTAGAGTGATTTACAAAATGCTACATTTAAGTCATGATTGAAAATAGTGGACGGAATAGCCTTATGTTCTATTATTTTAAAATATATATACTTACTTTTATTTCAATTACATGTCCACTTTTCAATCAATAAAGTTCACACAAGTTGTTCAATGAATTTAATCAGACATGCAATAAAACATTATATGCAAATTTAAACACCACTTTCTTACTAAAAACCGCTGTAAACAATTCGTTTTTTATACACTACACTATAAAAAACAGGTTGTAGCCAACCATACATTGTTTTAGTTCGTACTTAAACTGCTTACATTTAATCTATGATATTACATTGTCTGTGCCAAAACATGTGAAGCTACAAAGTTATGTAATGACAATGGCATCTGTAGTTATCATTATCGGCTTATCACTCCCGATTATAAAAGTAGTCATATAGCTTTGGATTTTGATAACCATTACTATTAAGCGATGGTACACTATTTGAACTGGTTGTTTAAGATATTTTCGTCAATTTCCACAGAATAAAATCAATTTCCTCATAACTCGTTTAATTTTTCAACCCCGCCCCCACACACATGTTTAACACGTGTGTTCATGCTGCATACGGTATTACTTATTGTTAGTAAATGTTTATGTGTTATATTGGAACAAACAATGTTTATGCTCATCAGTAAAACAGAACATGATATTAATTCAGATTAGACATAAAAATAGGAATAGTTTTAGTAAAAGTATTTAGTGGAAAGGATTCTATAAAAACTTCGTAAATATAAACACTGCATATGCTCAACGTTTCCATTTTTATTCATAAGAATATATATATGTTCAATAGAAATAACATTATTTACACGTATTTACACGAATTTGTATATTCAGAATTTCGAGCCGGTCAAGCTTCTTTTATTGAAATCGTACGCTTCGTTGGGCGACTTTATATTGCTGTTCAGCGTATACAGCAGAAATCGTTTGCACAAATAGTTGTGCCTGACACCAAACTGTAATAACTTATTCCTTGCTATGTAGTATTCGTCACCTGGAGGTTCATCTGGAAAAATATAATACCAATTATATCCAAGAATAAAACCTCACATATGTCCTTAACAATATTCTAAATACAATTAGTGAACAGTAGTTATTGCTAGGTTTTATGTGCATTCGTGAATGTTATGGAGTGGCATAATTCTGATTATTAATTTTTGATATGATATAAATTACAAGATTTTTGTTTATACATGTAAAAGCAAGCATAAAATATTGTATATACTGCATATTTAAAGTGTGCATCGAACCGTATTTTCCATTTTTATAACCATTTCGTAGCACAGGTAAAATATAATGACATATTTATTTCGGCAAGTGTCGTTTGTTTGCCTGTAGGAGGATTGCAAAATTTAGGATTTTAAACTAATATTAAATGTTTGTTTTTATTCCAGAGTAAAAATTGGCATTGTCAATGCTAAAAACAAACCTAAATTTTATAATATGAATCACTGATTATTTTATAATGAGTAATAAAGTGCTAAAGAAGGATTCCAGCAAATTTGGCGTGGAACAATGTTTATATTTGACGTTAATTGATATCATTCGACCCATGTCAACGATACCAAAGTGCTATTTTACGTATTTTAGCAATATTCTTTTAGTACCAGTTAAATAACTTTAACCAATATTAGTAAAAATAAATGCACGACGTACAGTTATTAAACTTCCCATTTATACCAGAACTTCGACCAAGTATATTAACCAATTGTTATATTAAGTCAATGCTACATCTGGTTCACAAAAATCAAATGTCTACTTGCCGTATTCAAAGTCGATGCTACATCTAGTTCACCTAAATGAGATGCCTCCTTGCTGTATCCAAAGTCAATGGTACGTCTAGTTCACGTAAATGGAATGTTTACTTTCGGTATCAAAAGTCAACCGTGTATGTATAGCCTATTCGTTAATGCATTTTGTAGTAAATCATGCTTAACGGTATTAATCAGATTGCTAGTCCCTTTTGTTCTGTATTTGTAATGTACTAGCTTAAATGATTAGTTAATAGATATATGTTACGACTGTTTTGTTTAAGTTTTTATTGTTATCTTGCAAATGCTGTCATGGTGACCAATTAACCCATAAAGTCCATGTTAAATTCCTTAAACTTAAACTTTGCGTATGGAAAAGCCCTCTCGTTCGATTTGTGCCGTTTTAGATTTATATCTTTCCTTAGTTGGTTAATATGATTTTGCTAAATTTCGTGCGGATTGCTTTAGCCGTTCAGGAGGAGTATTTGTAAAACAAAATCAGGAGTGTAATATAATAGCTTCACTCACTCCGCTCAATAATTAATGGTTTTCTGAGTTAAATCGTTTTTTTAAGTGTTACTTTACGTTAAACTTATCAACACATTGTATTTACAATTAACTATTGTATTTAGGAATAATAGAATATAAACATTCAATGCACGCTTTACTTACTTATGAAATCGCCTATGAACATTATGTAGTAGGAGAGGTGTGAAAAGATTCTGTATTTTGATGGCAACGTTGGGACCTTGTCCCAACCTCTTCCCTCGAATACAATCCCATCAGGTGCTATGAGGAAGCTGTAAAATAATAAATAAAAATAATAAGAAATATCCGTAGAATACAAAATTAACACATATGCCCATTTTTGATTAGTGAATCTATTTCTTTATCTACGCAACTTGCTGCACATTTTTTAGTCCTACTGACAAAATTGTTTTATGTAAAAGTAGTAAAGCTAAGAGTAAAAACCACATTAGGCCAAAAAGAATAATATAATCTTAAGTTAACGTAATGTGTACTACGACAAAATAAATATACAAACACATCGATAAATTAGGCATTTGCTGTTTAAATTTTTTAGCTTTGTAAATATTCGATTTAAACTTAATCGCTCTATAATTTTTTTTTTAATTGATAAAACTACGAAACTCTCATAGATAAATGAAATAAAGTATAAATTGAACAAAAAGTTCAAAAATCTGTCATTTGTAAAATGTTAAAAAACATTTCTGTTTGGGAAGTTATTTAAACCCTTAAATAATTAGCGTCATAAGCCTAAAATAAAATGGTTGCCGGTTCGATCCTGAGAAAAGTCAGTAGCATTTTGATGGTTCGAAACTGGACCCAGCTGTTTCTTTTCATTGGGCTTTAAATAAACGATCCTGACTAATGAAACCGCTGATCTTAGTCAGTAACAAAGCTACACAGGTCATCACACACCATTCTACACTCATCCTTCACTCATATTTGGGTTAAAATACGCACCTAGGTGGCGTCCCTATCTCAATAATTGATAATTGACAATTGATAAACACTGATTCCTGTACATCATAACAATTCCATGATGTTAAGAAAAACTTACTTGTATTTTATGTCTGGATACTTCTTAAGGTCCATTTTCTGAATGAACTTGATCTCAGAGACAGCCGACTCATACGAAGGTCGACTTCCAAGCCACGGTTTGCCCTTAGGAGCGTACTGTTGCTGAGGAAACCCAAACATAATCATCTTGGCTGGTGGGTTCATGGTGGGAACGAACGACGATGGTTGCGCCCGCCATTGCTGCCTGGTCACAAATCTTATGTCTTCCATTGGCGCTGGAAAAGTGGGTCTTCTGTAAATAATAAAAAATCCTAAAAAGGTCTAATCGTAATGTATTATATGAGTTTGTCATCTATACAACGAGGCATATATTGTTTGGCATTGTGACTAAAGGCAAAAGTTATTAGTATTGTATGAACTAGATGAGAGTATAGTTAATGATCAGCTGTTTTATTTTTATTTTTTTTGTATAGTTAATTCTTTAAGAGCTTCATCATGACATAAATTTAAGTCCGGTTTCGAATCATATAGAATCTATTGGCTTTTATTGGAGCTAAACTATTAGTGTTCTATTAAACTATTAACAATAAACCTAGCTTTCTTTAATGGTAGTTTTAATTGCAATGAATCTATATTTTAATTAAATTTCAAACGTGGTTTAAGACGTTGAGCCATCTCTATTTGTAAACTTTACGAAAATATTTTTTTACAGACAACGATAAAGACAGTTGAACTTGATTATCTTCGATCAAGTGCTAGAACTGCAGAACATATGGGGGCTAGCTGTTTTAGTGGTAAAACATGAGGTTTCAAAGGAACCTCGGTACAAATTCGGCTAATAACTAACGGTCTGAATCCCTTTCAGACCCAGGAATCTTAGTCCTCTCGACCGTTTAAGTCCCGAGCAAATGTTGAACATATGTTAGTTTTAACCTAGATTTCAAATACTATAATTATTAGTTAGGTTTGTCTTAAAAAATAAACCTTCATTATACCTAGAATATACACATACCCATATTGAATATACCCATTTAAAAAAATAAGTGAATATAATGCAAGTGTTTTAAATTAGCAAACTTATTTTCTACCTCATTATTATATAAAATTCGTATACAGGAAAATAATTGATTGTAGAAAAAAAACTAGTTTAGGTGAAATGTTCATTACATGTGTTATTTATGAATTAATTTGTAAATAGCTATTATGAGCTGGTAAATTTAGCGTTCCAATATAGATAAATAAGCCTACCTACTAACATAGATCTTATACAATGATTGTGTTTTTCCTCTTAGAGTACTAACAAACATTTTAACAATTTCATAACCTTGTTTGCTGCAGTATAAATAAGGTGTTACCAATTTAAATCGAAATTTGAATGGTCAAAAATAAATTATTTGTATTAAACTTACATGTTTAGGTTACTTTAATACTTTCCCCACGAAAAATGATGATTTGGTTAAATCTGTTTAACACAAAAGAGTCTCCATTGTTCTTAAAATGAAAAAAAAAACTTTATTCATTTATTTTTAGTCTAATCTCTATCCAAATATTTTAACTTATTTACAATCAAAACTGATATTATTTAGATAGCCTCTGTTATCGGTCTGTCTGGGACTTACTATGATATAACTTCTATATAACATCACGTTTCTATTTGAAACCGTATTACAACTCGTGCCGGTATTTGGTATGAAGAGTTACACTGTTTTTTTGGTATTTTACTTCAAATAAATTAAATGCTATTTATTATTTCATGTTTATGAAAGTAGCTAGAGGTCTAGTAGTAGAGCGCGAACTCTGGTCCATAAGGTCCCAGGTTCAAATCCCATTAAATAACAAATGGATTTTATCCAAGTAATATTGTCACAACCCCTTGGTCTTGCCTGAAGTCGTGTGAAAAACAATCCCGAGATCGTGCCTAGCATCTTAGGACGAATAAAAACCTGATTGTGTAAAAATTAATTGCATAATTACGTGGTACAACCAGCAAATAGTGCGGAAGGAAACTTGATCGTTCTAAGTACTGTATAAAAAGCTTATCTGATAGAGTGGTTTTGCTTTGGATATGGATATGCTCCATTATATTATTCCACTTTTCACCTACATTCCATATCTTGCATAAATTAATCCTCGAATTTTAATGCTGTGTCAAAGAATTAATTAATAATAATTGACATAATTATAATTCATATAAAAAAACAAGCACCCACCCAACCAGCATTTGGACGTAGCAGGCCACAATTTGCTGGCATATAAGTCAATTGCCCAAATCATTGAATTATTAATGTAAATATAAGAGAATGACTTAATTTTAAATATATTGGCTCTGTTATTCTGTGTGCAAATATGTCACTGTTTTGGACGAGTAACCCGGCCTAATGTGGAAACCCCTCACTTGAAGTCATTATTAATGGATAGTAATTGTGTAAAAGTAAAATTTATAATTTAATTGTAAACATAATAATATTTGTGTAGACGAAAACCATAAGCGACAAATATAGGTTCTCTCAGACGATATTTCAGCTACAATTCAGTTGACAGATTGAAGCTCCACAAAATATTCTAGACAGAACAGTACTTGTTTTACGATGATAAAAAAATCTAGTGGCTTTAAGGAAATAAGTTAATATCTATCCAGAATCTGATGCTTTTCTTTATTATTAATATTTGTTTTAAGAGAGTAGTTGTCTACAGATTTGTTACGTGATGACCAAAACCGAACAACAGTTTTAAAATATATGACATATGATTCATTTTGCTTATTTTACTAAATATAATCAAAACCAAAAAATTAAATCATCAACCTGACTAACCGTTTATCCAAATGGATAATAGGCTATTTAAAACGCAAGAGCTTACGTGGAGGGATATTTATAAATAGAACAATTTATAATTTAAAATACCTAAAGATTTTACATAACTCTCTCAATACAAGATTAAATTATAATATTTTACAAGAATATAACTCGTATAAGTTTTAATGATTTCTCTTTTGTCAGAATTTCCCTATGGCTTGCCATATAAGAGTGTTAAAAAACTAAGTGGTACAGTCGATCAATAATAGAAACAACTATATTTTTAAGTTAATTCAAAATTACACATAATAATGCACTTCTGTCTTATCACCCCCTAGCAAAGCATGGGTATAACATTTATTATTGTATAGTAAGAAAATAAATAAACAAAAATATTAACAAAATAAAACTGTTTTACAGGTAAATAATATAAGAAGCGTATTTGTAATACAATTTTGCATGGTCATTAAATATATTTTTTTTCATGTTTATAATGTTTATATTTTAATAATTAGTTATATTATAATTTTTTACCTCATAACTACAATGATTTAAAATATATATTTATTAAGCTCATGTTTATAATCACAAGTAAATGGAAGTACAATCTGAAGATGCTTCATTTTAATCATCTTCATTTGAATACCTATTTTTATCACTTCGTTTTTAAGGTCTATGAGATGTTTTGGCGGTGGCACTTCTGAAATAAAATAACATTGATTAGTGTTTCTATTGAACATTATTTCAATGGGTCTAACAGTTTGATTTACTAAGAAATCCATGCTTATGTAGGTTCTAGGTTGTATATAATATACAGTATTATTAAATTTAAAATAGTATAGTAGTCATTTTGTTTTTCTGAATGATTCTACTTATTTAAAACGAGCATGAAGTCAACTTTTGGAGTGATCTATTTTAAAAAATCGCTTATACAATCGAGTAAAAAGACTCTACTGGAAGTTGTACATAACTGGAAACAATTTTTATAAAAAAATAAAAATATTTGTGTTCTTTTATTTTGAAAACAGTCATGTAAAGAGGCTAATAAAATTGAAATATTAATCAAACTAAGTTTGCCGATCATATTTTTTCATACTTTTTTTACTGAGGTGCTGGTTTTCCAGATTCATTGACTTTTATTTTTTGCTTTTAATTGTTTAATTGTCATGCATTTTTTTAAACTACCACTAACTTTAAAACTACCACACTGTCAAAACGTCCACTTACTTTGCCAGTTACCTATAAAGCCTATGTAGAGACTTTGGTCATTGCTGTACCAATACTTCTTAGGTAATTGTGGCCTGTTTTTCCATCCTCTTCCTTCATATACAACTCCATCTCCTCCTACCATGAAGCTGTCAGGGGATATGAAAACAATTAGATTAAAAATTAGGTTAATAAAATATAATAATCGTTAAGATAATCGTTAATTGACCTAACAATTATATTTTGGGTGTCTAGAATATACAGTAGTATTTGTCTTCAATATTATTTGAAAGTCACTGTGTTAAAACTATTTTTCAGATCTAGTATACCACAATCAATTAGATCACAAAAACATTTATATATATATATATATATATATATATATATATATATATATATATATATATATGTGCTACTAAATACAAATATATGTTAGCAATCTTTAGGTAAATAGAGTATAACTTGGCCTACAGATAAATGCATCTAAGTTTTAAACATATAGTTGCCTTAAAGGTTGAGTATTCCTTGTATGGGGTAAAGAGTGCTTTCATGTTGGTTTTTAAGTGCTGTTCGTGTAAATTTCGGACCCATAATACTTTTTACGTTGAAAGCCTCTGGGAAATGTTTTATAGGTTAAAATAACGAGACAATCAAAAATAATAAAAATACCCCCGTCGCAGCAAACCTGACAACTAAGCGAATTTCCATTTGTCTGAATTGATTTTCAATTAAATATATTTAAATAACATTATAGGTCGAGTACCTAGGTTTGCTGCTACAAGGAAACTAATAAAGTGTGTTTTTTAGTAAAATATTAATAGCTAAGTACAAAATAAATAAGTTTGCCAAGTTTGATCAAAATATATCCATAAACAACCAAACTACAACATTTTACAATATTCTCCATAAGAATAACATGGGAATTTTAAATTTACAATTTTTTAAATTTTCTTCGTTACCAATAATCGTACAAAAATACTTTTATATACTAAGTTATTTGTTTTTTAAGCTCTTTAAAAAGAAATAAAGAGAAATTGGGAAACTTTGTGTTTTGAGGGTCAAAAGTGAGAAAAACCAATTTTTACCCCATAAAACCCCCCGTAAAGCCCTGTTTCCATGGTCCGATCATGCTGGTTCGCGAACTCATTCAAGTTTATCCCGCTTTACACCTTTAAACCAAATTTCATCAAAATCGGAAAAAAAATTACTCAAGTTATCGCGTTCACGGACACATATATATATATATAAATCTATATATATATATATATATACATATATAAAAATTTGAACGAATGGTGTTTTTGGCCTCTGGGGACATCAAAATGAAAAAGTAAATCGCTCCCGGGCTTAGGTCTTACCATGCCACCTACGGTAATAGCTACTTCCCTATAGGGAAATTCGCTAAAACTAAATGATAAATGAAAAAAACTTAAATGGGTGTTATTTCGCAATTTAATATATGATTAAAATAGATTTTTTCACAATAGATCTATCTTATAATACGTACCAACTTGATTAATGATCAGTTGGGTTAGTTAAAAGACAAAAGCTTTTAGGGAAACATTTCAAATATCCGGGTAACAGAGTGTTTCTTATTATCCTTAATTTCCCTCTGTTTTAACTATCAATTATTTTTGTTATAAATTGCTTAACTCTTAGTAGCGTAACTATAACAATATTTATCCTAGGTTCTTACTTGTAACGTATATCCGGCTTCAGCATTTTGAACTCCCTCGCTTGAAGGTCCTGCATGGCCTTTATCACTTGTATAGTCTTTGGCCTTGGGCCCAACACTGTAGCCCAATAATCCGCCACTCTAGAGTTCACTTTCACTGTAGCAACTCCAAAGGATAAATACACAAACGACACTGGTGTTTTTGCCACAAGCATTTTATCCACTCTTTGAGGGGCTTGTCGGCTGTGGGACCACAACTTCTTTTTTCGAATTTTAAACATTTTGTTGTCAAAGTTATACCAAAAGTCAGAGGGAACCGGAGGTTTCCTCTCTGGGTTTATTTTTAATTTAGTTTGATTCATTGTGATAGGTTTCTTCTTCAGTGGATAGGTATGACACGTTGTTTAGGCATGCTTGTAATAGTAGAACTGATCCGCCAACATCTGTAACAGTTAATGTCAATTATATTTATACCTATATATTTTACAAAGATAGATAAAAAATACTACTACATTTAAACATCTATATATTTTAGCTCTAAAATATTTACACACTTACATTTACAATTTAATGCTTTAATATTGGCCTTTTAAAGTTACATGAGATACTTCTGTTGCATGTTTTAAAGTCAAGATATTATTGTAATTTGTCTAGTCCAGCAGGTATTATGAAACAAAAGTCACATAATCGATTCAAAACGTGATTAAATAAGATACATTAATGTACATTAATGTAGTACAATTACCTTCTTAATGGTGAAATGACAATATGCATCACAGAAATATGCTTCAGTTATAAGCTATTCTTAAATATAATAACAATTGTATAAGTGTATAGTTAAAAACTTATAATGGCACATACCGTTGTTTTGAAGAGTATAATTCTTTTCCGAACATTTTTTCTTCTTAAATTAACAAACTTGCTTTGAAACTCCAAAAGTATATTAACTCGAGTTATTCATTTATGATACTAATTTATATAATACCATTTTATTATTTATTTAAAATACTCTGACAAACCGAATAATTAATTCTCGCACATTTATTTGCTGTCCTAACGATTACAACTACTGTAAAGATATAACAACTAATGTTGAATATGAATAATGTAGATAACCACCGGAAGATTCTAGTAATATTAAAAGTATGGTATTTTTATAACAGATTACAGATAACCCATTACAATTATTTGACAAAGATAAGAGGAAGACAATATTTTCTTAGGTCAACTATTGCAAATACTCGTGTTACACATTGTAATTAAGTAGCAAATTGATTCAATTCGATTTGTCATAGTTGGATTTATATACTTGAACATGCACGTGTGATCCATAGGAACTACCGAGAAATTAAATTGGAAAGCAAGCTGGTCAAGCTGGTTAAAGCTAGGGACTTTAGAGCCCGAGGTCCCGGGTTCGAATACCACCAATAACCAATGGATTTTATCCATGTGATAATGCTGCAACCCTATTGGACTTGCTTGACATAATGTGTGAAACATTTTAGAGCAACGCATTATACACATTTTGTACTTCCGTCATAATAAAGCTGCAAGCTAGGTTATAACTGCAATTATCATTTTAGTTGAAGTTTAAACATATAAAATTTAGTAGATGGTTTTGAAAATGGTTTTAAAAACCATGAATAGCCAGATAATTAAAAAGCTTTTAAATAGATCTGTCACTATGGTATTTTAAGATAATTTTAAACATCCAAAATTGTATAAATTTATCAAATTCTATGTAAAATTCCTTTTATAGGGTAAATAACCATCATCCTGGTCTTGAAAAATAATTTTATTTCAAATTTTAAGTGGGTTTCAATATAAATAGTACAGTGTTCATGGGCTTAGGCTTTACCTGGTCGTACTTTGGTTATATTTTCTTCTATATTCTTTTAAGACAACTCACTTAAATTTATAGTTATGAAGGAAATCAAACAACACATGGTTGTAAAACATAAAAAACTATATTTTTTAAGAATTTACAAAACGAAAATTATATACAATGCTCTTTACAATGGTTTTACTTTATATACATATCAAAATTAAACCTATAAACACTAGGAAATGCCAAGTTGACCATAAAAAACTTTTTCTTTATGCTACCTTTCTCAATGCCTATTCTTATAAGTTCGTCTCGAAGCTGGAAAAGTTTATCGTCTGGTGGTTCATCTGCAAAATGATACACATTATTTATTTATTTTTTGGAAAATAAAAATGGCCCAAAGTAGTCTAGTAACAAAATACATAAGTATTCAACATATAAACTTTCATAAAGTAAAATAAAATGACAATAATACAATTCGCCAATTCAAAATAATTAATGAAATTGAAAATACAAAAATGTCATACATATGATTTGCTAAATATATATATATTATATCTCATATATATATATATATATCATATATATATTTACTATAAATATATATTTTAATCTAGTTCAGGTACATTAATCCGTACGAGTAGTTCAGCTAAATCAAAATTAGATTTTAATAAATCACTCATGCTAAAGTATCAGCAGATATTAGTAATAATAAAGCTGTTTATTCATTAATTCATCAATTAACTTGTAACTCATATTATTACGTTAAATGCGTACAATGGTGTATCAGTGTCTTACATTTAATAGTTTTTTCTTGTAAATAATCTTTTTTAGTGCGATATAAAAAAAATGGTTTAATATACCTACGTACCATGAAAGTAGCCTATGAACCCCAAGTAAACACCTTGATTCCAGTTGTTGACATGTCTTGCAGGCAAAGATGGACGGATCCTCCACCCTCTTCCCTTATAAACTACACCATCTCCGCCAATCATGAAGCTGAAAAGTAGTACACAAATCATGACTACTTTAGGCCATAAAATAGCCAATGTGGCATACTGTCTACCTGATAGAGAAGATTTGTATTACCATACTTTTATGGGGTTTCTATTTCGTTAAAATTGATTTAGATTCATTAAATCCTTTTAAAAGTAAGTGTGCTAATTCCAATTACTGGTTCATGTAAAACGCCCAATTCTTTTAAAAATCAATTTAAAAATAGTGATTTACAGCTATATGATATTTATACCATCTGATTCACATTGCTATGAGGGAGAAACTATAATTCCAGATTGTAATACACTAATTTACTACACAGTTTTAGCAATAAAAAGTTGGCTGTGGCAGTTACACATGTGTATTTCGGTATCCACAAGTTAACGATTTGAACAACATTACACAAACACGTAAAATCATAGCAAAGTATTATTCACTGTTACACACGTTCCAAAAAGGCAGCTTTGCTTACTTGTAACGGATGTTGTGAAATTTCTTTCTCAGGTCGAGCATTTGAATGGACTTTAAAGCGTCAAGCACTTGAAGTGTTTTAGGCCGAGGTCCCAGCTCCTTCATGAAGTCCCTCTGTTGTCCTTTAGGTGATGTTGTGTTGAAGGAGCAATACACGAAGGAGACTGGTCCTTGAAGGGGAGCAGCAGGATGTGAGTCCTTCAGCCTCTTAGCGGTATGCGACCTCCATACCTTCTTGGAACGAATGTTGAGATCGGTTTTGTATTGATTGAACAATGTGTCAAAGATCTCGTCCATATTTACTTTGGTATTTAAATTTGTTTATACTCTGATACAGCCTAAGCTTGCTTAAACCGATGAAGTTTCATATTTGCGAATGGTTGTAGTTTTCATTCGGAAATCTACAAAAACAATAAGAGTGGTAATATTAAACATATTAGTAAAGCAAATGTTAACAGGTTTTTATTGTCTAATAGGTGACCAACACGATCAGTAAAAATGAATTTTTCTTACGTTTTGGGATCTGTAAACCCAACTAATATTAATGTTAGAAAGAAGAAAAAACAATATAAGATCGTTAAAAAGACCTACCCAATGCTAAAGAATAATTTAGTAAAACCAACCTATTGAACTAAATGGTAGTCAAAACAAGGGACAAAATAAAATCTACATTGAAAACAACAATCAGTGTACACTGAAAACGTATGCAAAAGACATGGAAAAATAAAATTGTGAATAAAACCTGTCCACATAAGGTTACAATTTACATGTTACCTGTACACAAAATGCATGTTACAATTATTATAATTTGTATTATAAAATAGTCTCAGTTAAACAAAAAGTTAAATTTGAGAATGTTGTCTAAAAAAGGTAATAAAAAAAATAAAATTTTAATTTCTAAAATGATATAGATTCAACAAAATAAATACAAATATTGACAAATGGTAACGTTAGTTTCTTGTACATCTTGAATTAAAATATTTAATTTATTCTTCTATTATTTAATATATTTATAATCTCTAGACGCATTATCATAAGTAAGTAATATAGAACTCGTTGAATGTAACACTGTAATTTTTAATAAACCTCCAGAAATTTTATTATGTATACATTACCTTCTACGATATCCACAAAATTGTGTCCCAACAATATCAGGTTAAATTATATCAAAAACACTTATTAAGACATTTCAGTCATTTGTCAATTTCAGTTACTGTGTTATATAAAACATGGTTTAGATTTTTCAATACACCACACATCAAATAATGAATTATATAATATCGCATGTTATCCAACAGTTAGCGTGAGTAATCTAAACATACTTATCGCAAGGATGAATAATCTTCGTGTTTTCCAATAATTAATGTCTGTATTTAATGCATGTATAGCCTACTGTAAGTTTTTTTAAATGAATAAGTGACAATTTAAGTCCATTTTAATTCCAAGTTTTAATTAACTCATATATATTGTGGAAGATCACGAAACAACTTGGAACACATCAATTTCTTTTAGTATTTGTCTTTGTCTGCAGTTTACAACACAAGGTTGTTCACAATTATCATAATTTTATTAATCCTTTCAGGTATTCATGAATCAATTCAGAAGTTATAAATTAAGCTATGTGAAGTAGTATTGTATAGAGTAGACTTACACGGATCACAAAACATCAATTTTAAAACAGAAAAATGTTGTTTATGTCCATGATTCTCTTGGAAGTACTTACACAAAATGTTGAAAGCTAAGTCACCACATAAATACTTTACTATGACGTCATAAACAAAAACGACTTTTGTAGAGTGTTCGAAGCCTCTAGAAATACTTAGAGCCTTCTGAATGTATTGAAAACACAGGCAAAAATAATGCGATTTTTTTGTATAAAAATTCTGAAATGTTACATTTCGGTGTCGTCATTTGTTTCAAAGGCTGGAGGTTACATACTTTCCTTCAACTATGATTCATACATGTTCCTGCTTACAAATATATTAATTTTGGCTCCTTTTTTGCATTTCCTAGCTTCTGCTTTATTTTTATTATTTTATAAATCAGATTAACGTAGTGTGAAGTGGTAATATAATTAAAGCTTTAAAACAAAATTTCCTAATGTTTAATTATTTAAATACAGCTATTTACATTATATACATGAACAATAATAGACATTTTTCCCTTGCGTATTGTGTAAAGATTTTATACATTTATCCAACGTATTCTTCCCATCGGCATTTATAACTATCTGGTAGCTGAAGGGTAACGCTATAAAACTTTTTTTTGATAAATTTGTTTTGAACTCCAAACTTCAACAGTTCATCTCTTGCTTCAAATGTTTCTTTTGGAGGTGGCATATCTGAAATACAAAACCGATTAGTTATACATAATATATACACAATCTATAGGCAAAAAAAAACATTCATAATACTAATTACAAATGAAAAAACTCAGGCTTTAAAATTTAAATTTTTATTAAATTTATAATAATTATGTACATGGATATATGTGTGAAACAAAAACGAAAATAATAAATTGTTCGACTCTTATTTACTTTGCACTATCTATTTGCTTTTACCAAGTAAACATCATAATATTGAAAGTATGGATTAGAAAGTTTGCAGTATCGTCATATAGTTTCTCAGAATATTTTTTTTCGGAGACCATTATAAAACACATAATAAGCAATCACCTAATACGTATATTTAGGATTTAATTGTTATTTATTAGAAGAAATGAAGTATTCAAATTTGCGTCAGAGTAGGTAATATGTCTTTTATGACTTTATCTTCAGAATAGTTGTTGCTTAATACACTTTTTCCATGCTGCTGAAAAGTTACATTAACTTCAAATACCATTTGATCATTTAATTTCAAAATATCCGGACTTTATAAAAAATATGTGTTTTACATTTAATAAAATTCACCCTTTTCTATGCTGAAGAATGGTAAGTTCCATTAACGTAATATCGTTTGATTATTTTATTTCAAAATATCTAGAATTAAAAATATTTTGTTTTACATGAAAAAAGGCAACGTTAAAAACAAATATTTACGATTTCGTATTCGTCATATGGTCTAAAATGTATTGCTTGTAGGTAGCTTATAGGAGAGTATTTTTATTTACCCGCATAGTCTCCAATATATCCAATGTACAACGAATGGAATGTAGTATTGGTTATTTGAATTGGTAGAGTAGATGCCGATATCCATCCCCTGCCTTCATATACGTAACCATCAGGACCAATCATGAAACTGCAAAAACAATAAATATCCTTTTTTTAACTTTGTTAGATAATTATCTGATGATAACCTGGTGATTAGTGAGTATGAAAATGTTATGCTTAGTCTTGTGTAGTTAATTATGCTCAGGACCTTACATTAAAGGCTGGATAATGAAGGATAGTTAGGTATAAAAGCTACCAAATATTTATTGAATTAATACTGTATTTTTAAATAGGTTGGTCGACTCTTTCGCTTTCATTAGTCCGTTTCCATAGGCCTCAGAGGATTGTGCGTGGAACGCATCCAGCAGAGTAATGTGAGCCCATAAAGTACTAAACTGATAAAAATTTGTAGCAGTTAACAGGATCCAAGACCACGACAGCCTTGGGCCCAAAACCTGTGGTGTTACCTACTGAGCCACCGAATCGCCTTATTGATTGTTGACTTTGTGGTGAATTAAGTCATACAATGTGAGTAGTTCTTGTAAAATACACCGGCAACCAAATAAGATAACTTAAAAAATCAGCAGCTCAGTGTGGTTAACGTTATTCATAAAATAAACATAATTTAAAATAAAAACCGTTGGTATTTTTTTACGTATCAATGTGCTAACGTTTTTTTTGTAAGAGGTTGTCGGCCTCTTTTAACCTTGTATTTACCCGTCCACATAGACTTGTATATCTTACTTTGAATTTTTTTTTAATCGTGATCAAATAGAAAATACAATAAACTAAACACAACAATCATAATCAGACCCGATAGGCAAAACGTGTCAATTAATTGCACCACGATTTCTATTATGAGCGATGACGTATTATATTGAAGTATGATTTATTTGCTTCCTATTTTGTATCATGTGAACCAGATATATTTGTTTTCCCAAATTAAAAATATCTTTAAATATCGTGATCAAATGGACCTTTAAATTTAAATTTTCAAATTATATACTTTTCCCAATGATATTGAATACTAATAAGTTTCCTGGCATCGTTTTTACAATATAAATATGATTCCAGGCTACCTACTTGTAGCGTATGTCGGCGTACTTGTGCATATCCCCTTGCTGTACATACGAAAGCTCACTGATGATTTGCTTAGGGGAAGGTCGAGGCCCAGGAGACGGTTTTCTCTGACGATACTGCTTTCTCATGTAGTTGAAAAACACATAAGATACTGGACCAGGCAACACAGGGACAGGAAGATGAGGCGTCCTGGCGAACCAATCCGAGCGAGTCTTGAGGCGGAATGACATTTTAGGTCAGCTGCAAATAGTAGTCAACTTTTTTTTATATCATAAACTAAGGTGAAAAATATTATAAAGGTTTATAGACATATTATATAATTTTATTTTATTTTTATTTTATTTACATGCTTCAATACAGTTTAAACACCATTTACATTGAAGCAGTTCATGCACTTATAATATTATTGCTTCAGTGGGTTTCTTCTTGTCTTTTCAATTCACTTTTACTTACACTTTCATGCCATGCATTTAATACTAACATAAAAACAAAATTATCAATAACTATAACAACAATGTATTTATATTTAAAAAAGATTAACAATGATAAATTATATAAAAAAAATAAATAAATAATAATAATAATAATAATAATAATAATAATAAATAAATTATTATAATGTTAACTAATGTTAGTGTAGGCTGTAAACTATATCTAAAGATGACGTAACATGCTTATTTTGTACTTATAATCATAGTAAACATCATCTCAAGAATTCAGGCAATATTAATCTTTTTTAAATACCCTAATATCATGTATTAAAAGCTAGTTAACGGAGAAATTTAGGATTAAGAAAATGTATACTGTGAAGGAAGTAAAATTTAAACAAATACGTTTTAAGTTTAACAAAAAAAAATTTAAATTGAGACACTATTATTCTGGTTTTTACAAAGTAATAATTTGTATTAATTAAATTTCAATAATATATGAATCATAATATAACATTTTACATCTAAATTACATACGTTTTATCTGATTAATATTTTAATAACCACGTGTTAAATATAAATAGAAGAAAATGGAATGTTAGGAATTGAGGGTTGAAGTTGGATCGGGGGGAATTTCGGTCAAATGGACTTCTAAGCCTTGGGATTTACAGGTTATATTTCCCTGTAAGATTGTGTCAAACCTGGAAAAACCCCCAGGTTTAAATTAATAGATGTAAACAGTTCCAGATTTTATTCCAAATTAAAACGAAAATCAAATAAAAAATTATTTATTCAAGCAGCTTGTAGTATATACCACATGTTTTATATTTTCTTTCTATGTTCTTGAAAGAATTGAATTGAATATACAATATTTTTACTATGTATCATTAACTATACAACTTTTTTAATAAACTATAAAAGAAAAGCTACTCACTTCAATAAATCTGCGTATTGTTTAGGTCATTTTGGATTCTTGTAGCTATTTTAAGTAAGTGTGTTATTGAATAACACGTAAATATTACAATACATAAAATGATACAGTAGGACGCCATGTTGCTAAAGAATTTAAAACCAATGGTCTAGACTATTATCAAAAATTGATAATTCCCTTTTTTACTGATCAACATTATTTTGTTATCAACATATGGTGAGAAAAATACACTTAGTCTCACAGATTTGCCAAATAAAGCCACACATTTGACGTATATTCAATTTACACTTGTAATTAATTGATGTACATAATACAAAATATCAAATTTAGATTTAAAAATATATGGTAGGTTATAGAACGGTCCTAACCATAATGTTTTTTTTATGTTTAAGACGCTTTAATGGAAATATAATATTAAGACACTTGTTCTATAGAATAAAAAGATTAAAAAACATTTTTTAAAGGACAAAGTAATACTGGGTCGTTATTTATTAGTCAAACAAAAGAAGCCCTACAATATGTTGGTTAAGTACGGCTTTCAACTTTGACAATAGAACTCTGATCTACGGATATTGAACAAGTCGCTAAGTCTTGAACCCCTCTGGGAAATGATGGTCAGGAATAAAGCGATTTATTTAAGGAAATAAGAAAAGTTGAGACCAAAAATGTATCCCAATATTACTTCTAAATCCTACAACCAACGTCTTTCTTTAGTTTTCTCACTAATACTTTTGTTTTGTACGTTAAAGATTACTTGATTAAGATTACTTGATGTTTTAAGTAATGTACTTACCTGTTGTTGGAATTCAAATACAATAGATTGTAAAATGTAAAAAAGTTGGCTTTAAGACTTATGAAAGGTAATAACGGTTTATTCTGAAATAAATGGGAAAAATGAATAATAAAAATTAATCTGAAATAAATAAATAAATACGGCTATATTTTTTTTCAAGAAAATACTATACAGTTTTAAGAAATGACCTAATTTTCAAGTTGTTCCAAATATCACATAATTTTAATATGTGGTTCTTGGTTCACAGAGTGTCAATTAATTATTTATTCAAGTTTCAACTTTAATCCATGAAAGATATGCTGGGTTAATACTCTCAACTACGTTAACAAGTATTAATACTAACTGTATGTTGGTAACGCCTAAATGTCTATAAAACAAACGCCAAAATATACACAATTAAAATAGTTTGTAAAGTATTTTTGTGCGATACCAAAGCCCATTTTCAACTGAACACTGTTATACTTGTTTATCTAACGTCTGGCAATGTGAGACATTTTCTATACTGAAATCTACCTTTATCGCTTTGTTTTTACTGTTCGTGTAACACAGTATTGTTCAATCAGTCCCGATCGTGTAGCACTGTTTGTACATCAATGAGAACACTGTCCTTCCCTTGTAAAGCAATGTTGGGCCATGTATGCGAATCAGCTTGTGATTTATCTTTGCTGATGGACGATTGCTTACCAATTGAAGCCGAAATCTGAACTTAATTTATATAAGAACTAAAAAAAGTATTTATGCTGCCTTAGAAAATCATTTGACAGTTCCATTAAGGTATAGAATATTGTCGTATTGATTAAAAATACAATGCTACATGACTTACTGTTAGATATAAGAAATGTATAACAATTACTCTGTTTTTAATGAAAATTCAGTACTAAATGTAAACGTACACATTTTACCTTGGTTCCGTTTATCAAGTTGATTATATATTATTATTGATTATATTAAAGATGATTATACGTTTAGTTTAAATTGTATAAACAAATACACCCTTTAATCTTAACTTAAAGAAAACGAGGAAAGCAAAATAAACTAATTATTCTGATTGTAATGGCTCTTCCAATGTTATCCGGGTTTGAAGAAATTAAAAAGTTATCTTTGGTTCTTAGTTCAATATTAAATATCGTCGAGGGAATGCAATTAAATAACATTAAAGTCGACATGGTATCTGTTTTAATCCGGATACATTTGTTTGTTTTTGTTTGAGAATTCACTGCTACGTTCTTTAACTGTAACCGTAGTTGGAATTAAACTAAAAAGTTTTGTTATGTAAAAATAAAAACGAGGTATTTAATATACATTATATCCATTGTGCTGACCTATATATTTGTAAAAAAATATACTATTTTTTATCAGACAATATTGTATACTTTCTTAATTATTTATTTAAAAAAACATCTTTTTTTGGACCACTCTTTGTAGACAAATTACATTTTATTGTATGTTAGCATACTCTGTATCTGACAAAAACGTTCCTATAATCTTACAAACAGGAGACTTAACTAGGCCTAGTTACTAAATTAGTAGATTTTCAAAGTTAAATTGAATCAAAGAATGCTTTATTTGGGTTTATCATAATAATTGTTTATCAAAGTATTCTCAGTTTATTCAAACGCTTTATTAACAAGCTATGCACACTAAATTGAGAGCATCTGGTCAAACAATCCTATTATTTAAGATTAACAACCCTTTGCGACGTTTAAATATTAGTTGCAGCTCTGTAAATGCTGTTGTGACCGTTTTAACACGTAATAATACAAATCCAGTCATTTTACAAGTATAAATACACATTTCGCATTTAACGTTACAATATAATATTAGGCTTTGAAATGTGTTACTACTATTTTTGAGTAGGTTTGAAATACTTGTACAGTGTATTAGTAGTGGCTATTCAGTTAGGTTAATTGAGAGTTTCAATTTAAAATACAAAATGTTATTGTTTTTTAAATTTTTTATATTATTTACATTGCCTAAAACTTGCAATCTTATATTAAAGAGGAGTGAATTGGTCTAGTGGTTGGATCGCGGGACTTCGGTCCCTGAGGTCCAGGGCTCAAATCCCAAAAAAACACCAATGTATTTTGTGTAGTGATAATGCAGCAACCTAGCCTGAAGTAATGTGCAAAACAATCCCGGGCTCTTGCCTTTGGTCCTAGGCAAAAAAATCAATATAAAATCAATATAAAATCCTTTATATTGAACTGCGTTATACTTTAAAAAAATTTCAAAACTGTATAGTAGAAATTATTTCTACCATTTAGGAAGCTGATTTTGTGACTTAAATAGTACTGGTCCAGTAAGAAAAAACTGTAGTCCTAGCCTTATTTTGTATTTTATGTATATATAAATGAATTTTCCAAAAAAACTGTATTCTTAGAGATTTCTGACGATAAAACTTGTTATCTTAACTCATCTTCCAACAATAATGGTTTGGAAATATTTAAATATAAACACTAACGAATATAAATTAGTGTATGCTTGCTAACTAACTAGTATGGGTTGCAGCTTCGTTCAATTATTGCTGATGATTGGTAACCTGTAAACAGATGATTTGAGAAGCTTAATGGTTAATGGTTTTAGATCATTCAAGTATTGTTCTCCACCGTCACACAAAGTAGACGAAAAGAGGAAAGTCACGTTTTCCTTGTGGCTCGGCACTCGTCGCTTCAGAACGTGATTGTTAGTAGCTCTGTCAAATTGTCTCTTGTCCCCACAACTCCTTCCGTTCCGAATATGTAAAACTTACAACGGATTTGTAAAAATATATGTAAGAACATCTAGACTAAGAGAAGTTGTCTCTAAAGGTGTAGACAGCAGTTAATATTTTATTTCAATACAATTGTAACAATACTTAGGATTAATTACTATAGTTTTTTTGGGATATAGATTGTTTATGAGACGCGCGAATATTGTGGGTTAGAACTGTAAAGTCATTACACCAGCATATGCACAGGTAAAATAATCTTGTAAGCGAATTTCACATGTAGGAAATAGCCTGTTACAGTAGTACTCATGGTAAGACGTGTACCCAGTACCGATTTATTTTTTTCCTTTTGAGCTCCCTAGAGGGCAAAAATACCAACTGATCAAATTCACATAATATATATATATATATATATATATACGGTTTAAAAACTTTTAGGATTTTGTTGCAGCTAACCTAAGTACTCTTTAAACTAATTAATTGTGTTTAAATAAGGAATAAATGTGATATTTAAGGAGTCATTTTAATGTGAATCCAATCAGGCAAATGGAAATTCGCTTTTTCTGCAGGTTTGCTGTGGTGGGGGTATATATATTTTAATAGTACCGTAATTCGTTCACAATATTGAAGCGGTTTAAGGGGAAGTTCCCATGCCGCTTTGTATGTATGTATGTTGCTTAATCAGGTGTTGAGCAATTACCTTAAAGGTTAGGGTCAAGTGGAGTGAATATATTTCTTCCCATAAACCTGCCTAAATATTGTGAACGAAGTATAATTCTTAATGAGGTACTTACGTACAAAATCAACAAGAATATTTACCATTGACGTCCAATGAAACCAGAAGTTGATGTTTCTCTAGTCTACCGTAAAGTGTGATAGTGATCATAGAACACCAAATGTAAATCAAAGCGAGTGGTAATCAAACTCTCTGATGGAAGTGTTTGTGCCACAAAGACTTGCAAATGTGAGCTATTTGATCAATGGTAATTGTCATCAGAGAAGGCGTGACTAGCATCGCTTGTGGTCGGATTAGGTTTTTGTGCGATTAACTTCACAATATTTTTTATTTGCTGTTGCTTTAGTTATTTTATTTGTATTTATTAAATAATAAAGCTTGTATTTATTAGATTGTAAGTATAAGCTAGTTGCTTACTACGTAGCAAAGGCTAGGCGATCTGTAAGATAAGATACTGTAAACAAAAAGGTATAGGTTTAAATTAAATACTGATGGGATTACGAATGGGAAATGTTTTGGAAACCCCGTGTAAATTTCAGTACCATATTTGTACCATAATTATACTACCACTGTCCACCATTTTACTATATCCACCATACTTGCTTTCCGTGTCCGGGAATCAGACTTCGCTTTTCCAAAAATTAGTTACCGATATGGCTTTGTCATTCGCTTGTAAAATATCATCTAATGTGCAAGACTGGTCTAGGCGTGTACAGATCAGCAGATGGCCAGGATCCTGAACAGCACCACACGCACACAAGATGTTTTATTCATCTGGTAAGAGACCCCATTTCTGCATGTTGTCTTGCATTTTGGTGCCTCGACCCTGATTCGATTTAGGATCTTCCACACCGTGTAATGCAGGCCTCCACCAG